AAAGTTTCTGAGATCAGCCTTGCAGGTGTTTCTAATGCCACCCTGCGACTAGAGACGGGTTTTATGAGAGTGGAGGCCAGGGTGTGGGTGGCCATACTCAACCTCTGGCTCAGACTGTCCCGTGCACCCCTTGGCCTTGCCCCACTAACCATGGAGGATGACTTCCAATCCACATGGAAGCAGGCGGTAGCATCCAAAATCTCCTCATTGGGATTTTCTCCAGGTCTACTATTAGCTATGGATTACAATCAAGCTAAAGCACTTATTAAACAACGTATCACAGACACAGAGCACCAACTAGATCTGGCCTCGGTTCCAACCTTCCTTATCAATGAAGACAGCAGATATCTTGCCTCCCCTATGGCATATTTAACAAACTTAGAGGTTCCCATTCATCGAAGGGCTTTCACCCTGGCTCGATGCCACACTCTCCCATCAGCTGTACTCGAAGGCCGCTACCGGAAGATCCCTTTCCCAGAGAGACTCTGCCCCTGTGACTCGGGTCATGTAGAAACAATAGAACATGTGCTCCTTCAGTGCCCGTTCTACAGGGATATCCGTGCCAGGCTTATTTTACCTCTGATATACAAGCACCCAGGCCATTCAGGACAATTTTATACCTCCATGCTACTTGCAGATACTAATTCAGCTACAACCTACAATGTTGCAAAGTTCTGTGCAGCAGCATACAAAATCCGTCAGGGAATGACTAGTCCCAAAGTCAACTGTGTGTCCAGTAATCTTCTTCCCTGAATCTGCAATTTGGTGATGGATCTGGGCATTGTATGTTTTTATCCTGTTTCCCCTTCTGTTCCCTCACCCATATTGTGCTTTAGTAGTTATATTTATATTTTTAATCTACCAAACATACCAAGTTTGTATGAAAATGTGACTCTATTTCCTGTGCTGGTCAATGACCGAAATAAATGATTTGGTTTGATATAGAATAATATAAAATAGAAGAAATCCTATTTAATGATCTTGTATTAAAAAGTATTTTCGCAAGAACAAACTCAGAGGATTTCTTCAAGTAAAAGAAAATAGGGGAGGAGAATGTCTCCCATGTGATGGAAAGAGAAACAGATAATTTGAAAAGAAAGCTGAACAAATGAAAACATGATGATAGGAAAATAATTTGTTTAATTTCCAAACAGGATGTTGCAGAGCTTAAGGGAAAAACAATGATGCCCAACACTTCACTTATTACTTAGGCCAGTGGTTCTCTATCTGTAGGTCCCAGGTGTTTTGGCCTACAACTCCCAGAAATCCAAGCCAGTTTACCAGCTGTTAGGATTTCTACGAGTTGAAAGCCAAAACATCTGGGGACCCACAGGTTGAGAACTACTGGCTTAGACTATATTATCCTCTGTTTTCTACCATCCTGGTAGGTGGTTTCCAGGGTTCTAGTAAATGTCAAAGCAGGACCTTCATGCCAAATGTCCACCAAAACCTGTACTGTAATGCCAGTCTTCGGATGGCATTAGGGTTATTTTAAAGTGCCCCATATCACATGATCTCAAGGCAATCTCAATTAAAATCCATTAAAGACTATAAACAGTCTTTAAAATTGAAAACCAAGTTATTTAAACAATCTCAAACTATATTAGGCAATGGGTTGTTGTAGATTTTTCAGGCTATATGGCCATATAATAGAAGCATTATCTCCTGACGTTTCGCCTGCATCTATGGTGAAACGTTAGGAGAGAATGCTTCTACAATATGGAGAGGATGCTTCTAGGACATAGCTCGAATAATGTACAACAACCCAATGATTCCGGCCTTGAAAACCTTAGACAATGCATATTAGGCAATTTAACAAATTAAAACAGGCTAACAAGATTAGAAGAGTTCAAAACTGCATGTATGTACATTTTGGAAGAAATTATGCTATTTTATGAAGTAGCCTCCTTTCAACCTAGTGCCAGAATTAGGACCCATTGGAGCTCCAGTGGGAAGGCATTACACAAATAGAGTGTCCTGTCTTTCTTTCCCCCACCCCCCATAACTATCACAGTGATGTCTTGTTTGCAGCATTATTGTCACATATACCCTTCTTCCACATATGCTTTCTTAGAGATAGACAATTTATCCAGCTGAAGCATTCTTTGTAACCAAAGTTGGGAGGCAGTTTCAGCAAAGCATGTCCACTGGGCAATACTGTGCTTTAAATTACTGTCCACCATTAAATTACCAGCTATATGGCATTGCTGCCATTTCATCACATTTTCCCTTCAGAGTCATTGAAGACAAATAGTGAAGATTGTAAATTCCATTTAGGCTCTCCTTCTGTTCTTTTTGGTGGCAGGTGGCTAAAAATTGTGAAAAATTGAGTTCTAGACTGTGTGGGCCTTGACTGTATCAATTGAGAGCAATCTTTATTTTATTGCATCACATTATAATAGAGGTGCTAATTATGTCAGAAGTGTAGCTTGCAATACAAACTTTACATGTCTTTTCTCTAACATACAGTTATTTAATATCACATTCAATATGCGTATCTCAGGTGGGCAGCCACTCTCAGACAGACAATGAGATCCACATTGAAAGGCATTTGAATAATTGGACCAACTGTGAGTTGTGCATGTCTGAACTTAAACTGCAACAATGTTTTTTTGGGCTCATAAAAGCTCAGTTCTTGAATCTAAAAGGCAATGTGCCAGTTCCAAGAGAGATATTTTATCCATGCTATGATTCGTCTTAACACTACTGTAAGGTCATAATTAGTCAGATATTTCTCTTAACATTGACAGTTAAATTACCTGGGAGACACTTCTGTTTTCTCAGCCAGGAACTCAGATACCTCTGACAAGTGATTCTTCATTTTGATTGCACATTAAACTTATTTTCACAGTCAGACCAACAAAAATCTTTTCAGTACAAGAGAAATTTCATAAAGGTATAGACTAGGGGTCCTCAAACTAAGGCCTGGGGGCCAGATATGGCCCTCGCTTAGGGTCAACCTAAGTCTGAAATAACTTGAAAGCACACAACAACAACAACAACAACAACAACAACAATCCTATCTCATCAGGCAAAAGCAGGCCCACACTTCCCATTTAAATACCAATAAGTTTATATTTGTTAAAATTGTTCTTTATTTTAATTATTGTATTGTTTTCAAGTGATTTTGGCACTACAAATAAGATATGTACAGTGTGCATAGGAATTCATTCATTTTTTCCCCAAATTATAATCCTGCCCTCCAACAATTTGAGGGACTATGACCTGGCCCTCTGTTTAAAAGGTTTGAGGACCCCTGGTATAGACAATGCCATCCATTAATGCATTAGAAGGTCATGTAATTGTCACAAAATGCTGGTGAAATCATCATGCTGTGAAAGCAGCTGTTTCATCTTCGAGGATGTATCTACACTGTAGAATTAATGCACATTGCTCCATTTTGACTGCTTTGTCTACTACACTTGGCCAATAAATCCTGTTCACCTATGAACATGGCAATTCCATTCATACAGGGAAACCCAGCCTTTTATATTGCAGTGCTCACTAACGCCTATTACAGGAGAGCCTACATGCTGGCTAGATTTAATATCATGCCATCTTCGCTCCATAGAGGAAGACTCAACGGCCTATCAAGCAATAAGAGGTTTTGTCCATGTAGCACAAGACGGCTGGATTCCATCCTGCATATTCTTCTGCACTGCCCACTTTACCAGGATCTAAGATTTAGCTTACTACCACACGTTATAGATTCCTTGAAAAACTACAGCGACTCAGACAAAGTAATTATGCTTTTAAATTGTCAAGATTTTAACGGCTGCCTTTCAGTTGCAAGATTCCTGAATGAAGTCTGTAAACTGAATGTGTAGCAAATGTGAAGTTCCCTTTTCTATGATTTGTACTATATTTTATACCTCTTTGCTATGTATATGCCAATAAAGGCTTATTGGATTGGATTGGTTGGACTGCTTTGTCTAGTGCTATAGAGTCAGGGATTTGTAGTTTGGCAGATCAGGTGCACTATTTTGCAAAGAAAGCTAAAGTCCTAGTGAAATGACGACTTGTATGATTCCCATCGCACTGGTTTCAATCTGCATTAATTCTGATAATTGATAATTTAGCAACATGAAGTGTATTATATTCATAATATGATTAGTTGGGGGAGTAGGTTGGCATGAAGTCCACTTGCCATGTAGTCAACCCAATAAATGTTTACTCAAAGGCTATTATTGATTTGGTCACTCCAGTCACTTTAAGTTAAGTTTTTATAAGTCACTAAACTTGGGCTTTAGGCTACCTACCTAGGGGGAAGCAGAGTGATGAGTTCTGTTTTAGATGTAAACACAGCTTGTAGTGGCTGACCTTAACTCTCCTTTTTCTTTAAAGTTACTGTGTTATAGATTTTTCCTCCTATTACTCTTGTACATTCCAAAGTGGAGACCTTGTGTTGGCAGCTCCTTAGCACACATTTCTGTGATCTGTGTAATTTTGTAAGTAGGCTTTAGATATTCTAGCACTAATTGTGATTCACTTCTGTAACAATCTGTATATATAAAAGTCAAAGTATGCCTGTCTACCTGTCTGTCTTTACTACAAAGGCTGTTGCTAGGTGAAGTATCCCTCTGTGATGTCACTGGATTATCTTTTGGCTTTTGTTACATCACTGGGAAAGAAATGTGATATGCATATGAGAGGAACGGAGGTGGGCTCTCTCATAGCTGGAGAAGGGGAAAAGGGGATGGGAGGGGAAGGAAGAAAAGAAAGAAAGGAATGGAGAAGGAATAGAGGAGAAAGCAAAAGGAAGAAGAGAAAGGAAAGGGGAAAAGAGTTGAGGGGAGGGAACGAGAAAGAAGGGATAAAAGCAGAGGGTAGCAGCTCATCAGACACCCAGACAACATCCCTCCAATACTACAAAATATTCTTAAAATATTTTTGCACTTAAAAAGTTTTTTTTTTAATTAGCCGTTTGCACTTTTATTTGCTAGGCCATGCATGTATCCTAAGTGTTCTTACATGTATCTTGTTTTCTACTTGATCCTCAGATGAGTATAGAATCAAACCTGTGGAAGAAGTCAAATACATGAAAAACGGAGGGGAGGATGATCAGAAAATTGCTGCCAGAAACCAGGAAAACTTGGTAAGGGATGAATGTTATTACTAATGTAACAACTTCATTTTTTGCGTCTGTAATGAAATTTAAAGTAGGTAGAACACTTAGTGTACCGGAGAAGAGCTGTCTTGAAAATGCCACTACTATTTATAGCTCAGAGGGAAAGTGCAAAATGTTACCTTGCCTGCTTGTCTCGATGAATTATCCCACTCTTGGCACCGTGGAGTGTGCTCCAGTAGAATGGGCATTTGTATTCAGCCCCTTTGCAAGTGGTAATGCTGCTTGGCTCATGATGAATGTGTTTGTGCTCAAAGGAGCTGTTAGCAACATTTACTGCCTTTTGAGAGGGAAACTACCTATTTTTAAGTAGATGTCTGTCATTATTTACTCTCTGAGTTCCCACACTGCATTTTAAAGAGTGCAAAATTGGAAACTTAAAGATGTATCTTGTGGTTACAGTGGAGAATTGTATGTGGCAATGTTTAAACAATTTTTGTTGTTGTTGTTATTTGGGTTTTATGCCTTGTGTTATCCTCTTTTTATCCTGAGTTGCATACTGACAGGGCTCTGGCTGTCCTGCAGTTTTCTGTCCAACAGAAAGAATGCAAAATTAAGCTTGCCATGATTCATGACTTCCAGTTTTTTTAAAAAAATGATAAAGATTCTTTGAAAGCAAATGGGCCATATTTTCTGAAATTTTGAAAGTGGAAACTTGAATTCAAAAAGTTATAAAATGTAAGTGTATACAAATGCCAAAATGTACAAATTAAACCATGTAACACTAATTAAAACTAGTTCAGCATGTGCTTTCAGTATTATTTTCCATGGTTAATATCACCCAGGATATACCTGCATTGCATACAGGTTGACGCCAATATCTGCTGGGACTATGTTCCTTAATATCACAAGGAAACTACGGATTATAATGAAACCTATTGAAACGAAGAGCTTCTAGCCCAAAAATACCATACCAGAGCAACCCTCTGGAGGAACTAGAAAATGGCTAAAGAAAACATATTTTGTTGGAAATGGATATCACAGATATTGGTCTTGTGGATACAAGAGATGTATTGTATTTATGCTACTGGTACTTCTCGACCTTACCGCAGTGTTTGACACCGTTAACTACGATCTAATGATTCACCATCTTGCCATGTCCGGAGTTCGCCGTCAGGCCCTTAATTGGTTCAACTCAAGGGACAATTCTCCCCCCTTCTTCTCTTCAACATCTACGTTAGACCTCTTGCTAGTTTGGTCCGGAGTTTCGGCCTGAACTGCTACCAATATGCGGATGACACTCAACTCCTTCTGCACTTGGAGCCTGGAGCAACATCAATACCAGACAACTTCACCTTATGTCTGGAGGCTCTGTCGAACTGGCTACGTGCTAGTAAACTGAAGGTGAACCTGGCAAAGACTGACATTCTCTGGCATGGCCGCCCAACAGGTCTGACTCATCCGTTACCCACCTTCGATGGTGCCGCCCTATCTCCATCATCCACTGTTAAGAGCTTAGGTGTCGTTTTGGATTCGCAGTTGACAATGGAAACTCAGGTCGCTGCTGCCAGCAAGCAGGCCTTTTTCCATCTACAACAAGCGAGGCGATTGGCACCCTACCTATCTGATGAGGCTCTGGCAACAGTCATCCATGCCACGGTCACATCTAGGCTAGACTATTGCAACACCTTGTATGTTGGCCTTCCGATGTCTACAACCCGAAAGCTCTGTATTGTTCGGAATGCGACAGCCAGATAACTCACAAGAACGCTCATGAAATGCCATATAGCACCAGTGCTGCAGCATTTACATTGGCTTCCAACTGATTACCTTGGTCTGTATAAGATGCTAGTTCTGACCTTTAAAATTCTTTACGGCCAGGGTCCATCGTACCTTAGGGAACGTCACTCCTTCTCCCATCATTGGAGGTCGCAACGACCAGCCCAACCCAACTTACTCTATATACTGGGTCCTAGAGAAGTGCACTTGGAAAGTACCAGACACAGGGCTTTTTCTATTTCTGCCCCTGCCTTATGGAATTCCTTGCCTCCCTATATGAGAGCCATGTGTGACTTAGGGCCTTTTACTCTAGCACTTAAGACCTGGCTTTTTACTAGAGCATTTGATCTATGTTAATCATTAATTTCTGTATGTATGTATTTTTGTCTTTTACAATTTTGCTTGTAAATCACCTAGAGCATCTCGGATGGAGGGTGATTAATAAGTAATTAAAGGATGATGATGATGATGATGATGATGATGATGATGATGATGATGATGATGATGATGATGATGATTTATATTTAGGGTTGTTAGAGTGAAATAAGGTTGCAACCTGCTGGAATTCCTGCCTCTATACAACCATTAAAGTACAGAAACTCTCCAATTGGTTTTATGCCAGTCTGTAATAACTATGCCCAAAGAATGCTAAGAATTATAGTTATTGAGATTTTTCTATCAGAGATCTGTAACACAACACAGAGAGCTATAGGTCCCAGGATCCTGGGTTTAAACTGTTATGGCAGTTTAAGTCTGTAATGTGGGCATCCAAAGCCATTCAAGAAAGATCTTAAGTGAGAAGAATTTCAAATTGAATCAGGGAGAAAGTTGCCTGAAAGTACGATCCCGTCTTAGTACACTGTAGCCTGACAAGCAGAAGGAAAAGAGGTGGAAATGTTTGAGTGAGTGGGAAATAGATCCCCTTTTCCATTAATTCCCTGTATTGTTCCTACTAAGGAAAATAAGAAGATGTTTTGGAAAGATGGAATGATGAAAATGTCTTTGGATGAAAAGACAGTGGAGAAAGACAAGTATGTAATTGCTTAATCCAAATGAAGAGACAAGGAATGAACTGGAAGATTTGTTACTCCATTTAAAAAGGGGCTTCCAATCCAGTCCCAGGGTTTTGTGTATCAGCCAATCTGGGGAGATCTCCCAGACAGTCTGAACTCTGTCAGGAAAAATAAACCCAACCTCTTCAAATAGTTATAAAATACTCCTTCAGAAAGTGGTTTTTCCAGTTTTCTGCTTTCAGGAAACAATTTTACCATCATCTTTTCTATCAGGACACTTCTGTTTTTACTGTAAAGGATCCTGGGATGTATTCCCCATTTTTATGCCTGCAGGACCTGGAGAAAAAAAGTATCTTACAAGTAATAAGGTAACTTGTATTTTGAGGTAAGGGAAATGAGGAAATGAGGAGGCTGTAATGGTGTATGTTCTTTTAAAAGAAATGTAATGACTGGATAATAGTACTTTTTGAACCTAATCAATAATGCTTACCCATCATTCCTGAAACATTTATTTTAGAGAGCATTTGGGAGGCATTTGGGTCATATTTGTATTTTCCAAGTGTTACACCCCCCTAGTAATATGTTACAAAAACATTTGCCTTCACATAGTAGCAGCTAATGCATTACATGCAATTGACAGATTGCTTCTTTAAAATAGTATTTCATGCAAGGTAGTAACCTATCACCTGACTTTACAATTGTCTTGTGTTAGAAGGCATGCAATGTTGAATGCACCCGAACCTCTCTATAGTAGGAAATTTGATTGTGGATAATATTGACTATATTTCCGGAGAGTTTGACCACATTTACTAGTTGTCTTATTAAGGTACCTTGGGGGGAGAGCTTTGATAAAAAGTCCCAGGATTCTTCAAATGGCAGCTTGAAAAATACTACTGTAAGAAGAAAGTGGTTTTGATTCAACTTTTCTCGTTTCTCTTTGCCAACCCAAAAGGACAGGAGAGGACTCATTTGCCCTCTGGGAATCTGAGCTAATTTATGTTTTGCAGGAAAAAGGTGTGTGTTGTTCTGTAATTAGAACATAGGAAAATGTTAAGATCAATCAGATTTTTAAAAGGTAGAGCCTGGGGATGTGGTTAAAATGATTCTTCTTTTAGTCTTCCTTCTATCACATTCAAATAAATCAGAACAGTTTTGTAGCTTTAAGTCATTTGGGAACCTGCTATATGAAAACTCTGGGAAACTTGCTTTTTCAACCTGTAGATGAGGCTTTGAGTGATGGCTGCATATTATTAATCCACCAGTGTTTTGTTGTTGGACATGTTATTATTTAATATATTTCTTGAGCAGCAATTTTGTTAATTCTAAATGAAGGATGACTGAAGTTTGTCCAACTTGCTGCCGCCCTCAATGCACAGGGCATTTCCAGCCACTATGTTTTGAGCTCCCAAGCCTATTTAAAGTGGCCCAGGAGAGACCGTTTTAAAGCACTGGAAGTTTTCACATGCTCTTTTGTTAAAAGAACAAAAAAAGCATGCCCAGGACATATATAGACCAGGAAGACCCAAAATGTCCCCATGGCCCTTAAAGGGCATTTGAAGACGGAAACGTTTTGATTTCTTTTAGGAAAGCAGGTGCAGTAGGGGTGCAGCACTGCAAGTTCTCTTGGGGGGGGGGCATTATATGCCCCCCTAGCCTTCCACAGTTGCCCACCCCGATCTTAGTGCACTGTTGGACTTGTATTGATATGTATGTAAAGGGCAGTTTTTGTAGATGAAGGGCACACTTTCAAAAATGTATCCAGGTAATGGAGCAAGAAATTATTGCAATGGTATGTTATTTGAGAAGATTCAGATTTCTAATAAGAAAGTGTATCAGGCTGCTAGAGATTTACTTAGAAAGTGAATGAAAAATCTTGCTAGTTTCAGTTTGTGTTTACTTAGAGAGCAGCCGCATATGGAATGATGGGTAGTAATCTGGTCATCCTATCTGGAAAATGTGAAAATTATAATCAAATGCACTGGAGAACCTTTTCCTTGAGAAAAGGTTGCATACTGTTTGTGAACCGCTGTGAGTCGCCTTCGGACTTGAGATACAGCGGTATATAAGCAAAGTAAATAAATAAATATTCCAGGACATTTTAATGCAGGAAAGCAGTGATTGTGGAGAGAGACTACAGAGATTTATAAAATTGTGTATTTTTAGTAGAAGTGAATTAGAGAAGCTTTCCTCCCTCTTTTATAACAGTAAAATTCAGATTCAGCAGAATTAATTCACAAT